AATATTATCAAAAAAAATTTATTTAAATATTTTAAAAATTAAAAAATATAGATCATAAGTATATTTATGATAATTTTCAGGCAAATTTGCCTGAAAAAGCTTACAGTTTAAGGAATAATATATTTATAATTTTTTAAAAATATTAAAAATTAAATATTTAAAAATTAAATTGTATTGTTAACTGTTAAATCATTATGATTTAATTTTAACAATTGATTTTTTTTATAAATTATACAATATATACAATTATTAAAATATTGTAATTTTGTTAGCAGCTCCTCGATTATACTTAAGCAAAAGCAATAGTATTATTATTGTAATTGTTTTCTAAAATAGTTGCTATGAATATTAAATTTACTCAGGTCATTTCTGATTTTTTTTGATTCGATTGATTTATTAAATTCTTTCTGAGTATATTAAGACACACAATGAGTTTCCAGTGTTAAGGATATATTATAGTGTATTCAACTTTTAGTACATTTAACCATTTTTAATTGAGGCATTATTAAAATTTTTAATTTGTTGCTAAAAATAAGTGAAGAAATTAGCCTATTTTATTTATTAATTGATTTAAATTAACTATATTAATGTGCATTGTAAACATTTTTACTAATTATAGTCTTCCCAACAATGCTGTTAAATGGTTTTATTACTGTAAAATAAATTTTTAGTTAACACCGCTAATTTTAATAAAATAAAGTTTTTGGGTATATGTATAGTCTAATAACATGCAATTTATCTTCCAAGTAAAACCTATGTAGATCTTTTAGAGAATGAAGATTGATAGAGATGCTGATCTCTAACGTTTATAAAAGCTCCCCTGCATATAATTCTCTCTAACGTTATCAAACCCCTTTGCTCGCATTTGCTTTTTATAATAAAAAAATATCTACGATCAAAACTCTCTGCACATGTTTGTAAAAATCTTATTATACTTAATGATCATAAAATTGACGTTCATGTGATTTTCCGAACCTAATAGTCTTCGAACAAAAAGGCTCATTTATGTTAGGGTTCGGGCGTATTTTAGGGTTATAAAGAACTGCTTACTAATAAAATTGCACAACGAATTTTTTTTATTAGAACTCAAAACCAAAGGCGGTTTACTAGTAAAGTTTTGGGATAAACGTGAATTTCGAAAAGTAATCTGGTTGATCAAATGAGTGTCGCTAAAAGAAAACCCGAAAATTTAAATATGACTTATATTTAAATTTTCGGGTTTTCTTTTAGCGACATTCAAATGATGTAGATCAGGTACTCCACAGAAGATTTAAAGACTTACTTATTTTGCCGGTAATACAACGCAGAAAAATTGAAATTTTTAATAAATTAAGCGCGTAAAAAAAGAAATCTAGGGTTAAGACGTTGACATTAGAGGCTATGATCACTCTTATATGTAAAATTTCGTTCCCGTCATTTTTAATTGGTACGCCAAGGTTGATTTTGACATTATTTTTTGAGTATTTTCGCTTTTTTTTTCACACTTGTTTGGAAATTATGTCGGCTGAATTCAAAATTTGAACTTACTGATTTGCTGTTCCCTTTTCAGGAGTTTGTATTATCGGTACGTACGTACGTACAAATAAATAATGCCTCTTCCCCACTGTTACACTGCCTAATTATGCAATCTGTTTGCGTAGTGCAATTCTTGGCAAACATATCAATGTGAAATTTGCCACAATATATTTTTAATTATATTATATGATCTATAGCAAATTTTACCACAAATTTTAAGTTAAAATTAAAATAGAAGTTGGATTTTTAGGGCGCTAAATATTTTTACTTATACTAATTATTAAATCTGTTTTTTGTGAAATAACATACCCGGTGAATTTATAATTATTACATATTAATTTTGTGTAAATGATAACTCTCAATGAACCCAAGTCACATAAATTCCGTGTCCTTGGAGGTGAATCAGCCCACGTGTGCAATGTCGAGTTCTAATACGATATTAGATAATTTTAATTTCCAATTTAATATCATCAAATAATTTGATTCCCAAGTGTAATTATATGAATTTTAAATCTTTTATTGACTTGCATTTCAAGTTTATTAACGTTTATTAAAGTTATTACTGAATTTCAAATTATTAATTCCACACCATATAAATAACACAAATTAAGTATAAAAATTAGATTGCATTAATGTAGTGCTACAATCTTGTATTAATATAGTGCTACAATCTTTTGCTCTATCATAATTGTCAAATTCCATAGATGTTTTCGATTTTGAATTTGTCCTTTATTCACGGAGATTTTTACATTTTGATTTAGTATCTCGAATTGCAAAACAATTTTAGTTTTTTCCGTGCAGAATTTAATATCATATTAAGTAATGCATAATCCTATAATCTAGTGCTTTAACCAATATGTTTATACAGTATAAAAACGCAATGAATTCCATATAACCCAAACTGATCAATTTCCACATAACTTTACATACAAATAAGAATGAAGTATTTTTCATCTACCATTCTTTTATTAATCGTTGCTTTTATTGGAGCAGCCTTTAGTAAACCAATAGACAAAAGCGTCAAGGGTGCACATTTTGACCGAATTGTTTCAATCATTTTTGAAAACGCTAACTATGATGAGTCACTACCACAACCTTATTTTCAAGATTTAATTAACCGTACTAATGGGCTACTTCTTTCAGATTTCCACGCAGTCTCACACCCGTCTCTGGTACATTTTATTATTATTATTATTGTTGTTATTAAATTTAAAAATAATTTTCTTTTATTTTAGCCAAATTACATTGCAACAATTTATGGTTCAACCTATGATATCACAGACGATAATGCTCATGACATTCCTGGAAATAATTTAGTTGACCTTCTTGAAGCTAAAGGTGTCAGTTGGAAAGGTTATATGGAAGACTACCGTATGTTTATCATGTTTATTACTAAGGATTAGAACCGTTTAGTCGCTTAAAAATTATTCCATAATTTCCAAATTAGTTTCATGTTGGCTTGATTTAAATAATTAATATCATTAAACAGCTAAACTGTTAAGCAATTAGAAAAACTTTTAAACGGTTCCAATGCTTATTTATCAGATTATTGATCTCTTTTCAAGTTTTTATTCACTTTCATTCTATCATTTTATAGCTGGCCACTGTTACAAAGATGCTTTTGCTCCTTCGAACTCCAGTCAATTATATGCAAGGAAGCATAATCCATTCATGAGTATGATAAACATAAACACAAATTCAACTCGTTGTGATAAAATAGTTGATTTAGATCAGCTTGATCTTGACATAGAAACTGGAGACGTACCACAATATGCTTACATTGTACCAAATCAAATACATGATGGACATGGGATAAAAGGAAGTCCACAAAATATAACATCTGCGGTGGAATGGTTCAAAGGTTGGTTTGAACCAAAACTTAAAAAACCAACCTTTACTTTATTCTTTATTTATTTCGATGAAGATGACCACCCTAAATCCGATACAAATCATATTTTCGCCGCTCTTCTTGGTCATCCTGTTCATCCTCCTTCCGACCATACTGACGATACTCATTACACTCTTTATTCGTTTTTGGCTACCGTTGAGGAAAATTGAGAATTAGGAAATTTGGGTAGAAATGATAAAGATGCAGCAGTGTTTACTAAGTATTTGAAATCTAGCGATAAATAATTTTATTATAAACTAGATTAAAATGTTACATTAGGTAATATGATCAAGATAAATTAATTAGATAATAATAAATAAATGTTTATAATTATCATTATTGTCATTGCATCTTAATAATTTAAAGATTCCTTAATTGCATAATTGATGCGTAATAATTCAAAATTCTATTATTTAATCAACGTAAAGTAGAAAGATTATAATACGTGTGCAAATTTTTTTAATTTGTTAGTATTTAACTTGATCATTTGTTTACTCAAGTTTTTTAATAAATTCTTTAATTTGGCCCTTGTTATCAATAATTAAATGAGTAAATCTTATAAGCTGTCATCGTAGAGCCACTAAAATATTTATAACATTTATTAAGTTATTTATTAAAAGCATTTTCTACACAGTATTTTAGTATTACAGTATTTTAGTATTAGAATATGATCATTAAAAGTGCCAGGACATAAGTATTTTCTGTTCACGTGATTTAGATTAATTGGCCTATTAGAAATCAGAATCTGGTGTAACGTAAAAAAATTCAAAACAAGCGTTCACAAGCTCAGGTATCACGAATTATTCTTGCTCGGTTCAATTATTTATTCGAAGGAAATATACTATGGGAGCAGTGCCATGCTGCGGCTCTACCGAATTTACAGGCGTTTATACTTTAATCTTAAAACAACATCATAAATAGGTGTGTACGAGGATCACGTGACGAATAAGGAAGAGTATCGAGTATGCACAAGATAAATGATGGGGGATGGCCCACGCTAAGGTGCAGCGCATCAAAAAGGTGGATGGCCCACGCCAAGGTGCAGCGCATCAAATAGAGGGATGGCTCACGCCAAGGTGTAGCGCATCAGTACAATAATTTCAGCCAAAGTCCACTAGCGCTAACAATTTAATACAGGGAACATATACCGGTAACATGTATATATATATAACGAGCGTCAGGGAGCGGGTTGCTGAGCAAGGCCTCTACAAGTCAAAAAGCAAGTCCCCAAGCATCTCACTTCTTTCTTATCCTCCTTCTTCTTTTTCACATGGGTTTTTTTTTTTTTTTTTTTTTTTTTTCATTCTTCTCTTCTTCCTTTCTTTCTCTTCTTTTCTTTTTTTTTTTTTTTTTTTTTTAGGGGGGTGGGGTGGGGCCCCAGACGATAGAGCCAGACAAGATCAGGCAGCGAAGAAAAAAGGCACTATTGTTATAGTTCCACAATTCTAAACCTTAAATACCCTGTTTCACAATTTCAGGCTATCCAGGGGACGATCCTTGCAATAATAACCTTAGCATGACTATCGTCATGCGTCAGGTCATTATTCTTGCTCGGTTCAATTATTTATTCGAAGGA